GCTACATCATGATTGGAAAGGTAGAGGTTAGTAGAAAGGAGAGGAAGGCTGCCTGCCAGATGGCTGGACTCAGTTCATGGCTATGAATTTGCAGGAGTTGGGCAGAGCCATGGAGGACAGGAGGTCTCATCCACAGGGTTGTCATGAGTCGAGATCAACTGGAGGGCAGTTAACAACAACAACTACAACAACAACAAGGCGAACCTATCCTGGGGTTTTCTTGGCAAGACTTCTTCAGAGGAGAGCGTGACTTGCACCCAAGGTCACCCAGTGGGGTTTCCATGGCTGAGCAGAGATTCGTACCCTGGTCTCCAGAGTCATAGTCCAACACTCAGACCACTACACCACACTGGCTGGGTATAAGGTGTACCAGATGTCCTAACCACCAAGGAGGACAAGGCACCACAAATGTAGGACATGACCAAATAAAAGCTAAGGTCCGCTCAACCTTGCATCTTTCCGCTAGATTGCTAAAATGAGTACCCAGCTTGAAGGGGACAATTAGCTTAAGGTTGTAAACTGCTTAGGGAGCATTAGTTTACTGTTATGCAGTATAGAAATGTATTGCTATTGCTATAAATATAAATTCAGGCTTCTCAGTTGTGCACAAAATGGAGGACATTTGGGAATTCCTCCTGGACAGAAGGCTGAAATGTAGGACTATGTCCAGGACAAGGGGAAAGCCTGGTCACCCTTGTTGGGTGCGATGTTGCGGTTGTTGTGTGCCTCCAAGTCCTTTCCGACTTATGGTAACACTAAGATGAATCTATGATGGGGTTTTCTTGGCAAGATTTATTCAGAGGAAGTTTGCCATTGCTATCCTCTGAGGCAGAGAGAGTGTGACTCATACAAGGTAACCCAGTGGGTTTCCATGTCTGAGCTGGGATTCAAACCCTGGTCCCCAGAGTCTTAGGTCCAAAACGCAATGCAGAAATAATCCATCTTGAGACCACTTTAACTTCTCTGGCCCAGGAAATCCTGGGCATTGTAGTTTATTGTGGCCCCACCAGAGCTCTCTGACAAAGAAGGCTAAATGTCTGACAAAACTACAGCTCCCAGAATTCTTTAGCATTGAGCCAGGGCAGTGAAAGCAGTCTCAACTGGATTATGTCTGCAGTATGTTTTGGATATTAGTGGTAATTAGTTAATTAGTCAGTTATTTAGTTAATTAATTAGTCAGTTAATTAATTAGTTTTAATTCTAATTAATTAGAATTCATTTCTGCAAGCTATGCTGGGAGCCTTTCTGGCAAAAGATAAATAAATATATATACTCATTTTATATGTATATGTATATGTATATATACACACACACACACACACACACACACATATATTTACTATAGTATTTAATATTAAATAAATATATATGTATATATATATATGTATATGTATACATAAATATATATATATATATATATACACCCATACATATACATATATATAGATAGTTAATATTAAAAAGGTTATATATATATATATGTATAAAGTAAATAATAAATAAATAAATAAATAAATATACTATATAACACACACACATATATATATTTATAAATAAAGTAAATAAATAATAATAAAATAAATCAAATTCTCACACACACGTATATGTGTGTATGTGTATGTGTGTGTGTGTATATATGTATAAATCAATAAAATAAATGGATAATAATAAACCGAAATACGCCAAGCTGGCGATAGGGGGCACCCTTTCCCCCTCCACTCAGGACAGCCAATCAGCTCTCGCTCAGGCTCCGCCCCCGCCCCTCTGGAAACCCCGCCCCTCACTCCTCACCACCTCTCATTGGCCTTGCGCGGGAAGCTGCGTCGTGGCCTCTTGGCCCTCCCGAATTCCTATTGGTCGGTGGGCTTGGGACGAGGGGGGGCGAGCCGGGTCTGTCCTCCGTGCGGTCCTAGCGCCGGTCTCTGCACAGGGAAGGCGGGCCTGGCTGACGCGACATTGCCATTGCCGTCGCCGTCTCCACCGGAGCCGCAGTTCCTCCCTGCCCCCTCCGCTGCCGCTTCTTCTTCTTCCTTGGCAGGCGCTTAAATAGGCCGGGAGTGGGCCGTGCGGCGGCAGAGCGCTTGGGCTGCGGAGGAGAAGAAGAGAGGAGACCGGGCGCAGGTGGGTCCCTCAGTCAGTCCCCCTTCTGTGGCTCCTTCCTCCTCTTCGTCCTCCATCGCCTCAGGCCCTCCTGGAGTCTCCACAGAAGGACAGGGCTTCTTCTGAGGGACCTTTTTGGGATCCTTTTAATCCTCATCCATTTGGTGGGGAAGAAGGGGTTTTATTTGGGGAGGGGGGGGGAAAGGGGGATGGATCCGCACTGTAGCATTAATGCGGTTCGATAGCGCTTTAACTGCCGTGGTTCCATCCTACGGAGTCCAGGGATTGGTAGTTTCATGTGGGTAGAGATGATGTTTTGGGGGTAAATCTGCACTGTAGAATTAATGCGGTTTGATAGCGCTTTAACTACCCGGGCTCCATCCTACAGAAGGCCTGGGTTTTTTGTAGTTTTGTGTGGTTTAGAGGCGTTGTTTCGGGGTGGATCTGCACTGTGGAATTGATGCGGTTTGACAGCGCTTTCGCAGCCATCCTATAAAAAGCCTGTGAGATAGGTCCAGGACACACACACACTGCAGAAATAATCCGGTTTGAGACCGATTTAACTGCCCTGGCTTCAGTGCTAAGGAATGTTGGGAATTGTAGTTTGTTGTGCCACCAAAGCTCTCTGACAGAGAAGGCTAAATGTCTCAGAAAAAAAATACAATTCCCATGATTCCCTAGCACTGAGCCAGGGCAGTTAAAGTGGTCTCAGATTGGCTTATTTTTGCAATGTGTTTTGGACTGCCGTTTCAGTGGGCATTTATACTATAGAATTAATTCGGTTTGACAGTGCTTTAACTGGCATGGCTTCATCCTGCAGAAGCCTGGGATTTGTAGTTTTATGTGGGTAGAGGCCAGGGCTCCTTCTCATAGAAGCCAGTGATTGGCAGCTTTGTGTGGTTGGAGGCGTTGTTTCGAGGGGCATCTGCACTATAGAATTAATGTGGTTTGATACCTCTTTAACTGCCATGGTTCCATCCTACAGAATCCAGGGAGTTGTAGTTTTGTGTGGGTAAAGATGTTGTTTTGGGAGTAGATCTGCATTGTAGAATTCGTGTGGTTTGATACTGCTTTAACTGCCATGGCTCCATCCTCTAGAAGCCTGGGATTTGTAGTTTTGTGTGTTTCAGGGGGCATCTACACTGTAGAATGAATGCACTTTGACAGTGCTTTAACTGCCATGGTTCTGTCCTACAGAATCCAGGGATTTGTAGTTTCGTATGGTTAGAGACATTGTTTCCGGACGAATCTGCACTGTAGAATTGATGCGATTTGACACCGTTTTAGCTGCCAGGGCTGCATCCCATAGAAGGCGGGGATTTGTAGTTTTGTGTGGTGGTTACCCAGGGTGACCAGATGTCCTCTCTGCAAAGGAGGATGAGGCACCACAAAACTGAGGACATTCCAGAAAAAAAAAATGGAGGACATGACAAACTAAAAGCTGAAAATGCTCATAAATCCATGCTTCTTAGCCATGTTCAAAATGGAGGACACTTTGAAATTCTTCCTGGACAGAAGGTTGAAACGTAAGACATGTCCTGGAAAAAGGAGGACCTCTAGTCACCCTGGTGGCACCGAGAACACGAAAGACCTTGTAGAACTACACATCCCAGGATTCCGCAGGATGGAGCTGTCTGTGTGTGTGTGTTGTGTGCCTTGAAGTCATTTCCAATTTTGGTGGCCCTACGGCAAACCTGTCTATGGGGTTTTCTTGTCAAGATTTGCTCAGAGAAGGTTTGCCATGGCCACCATCTGAGGCTGAGAGCTACAGCACTTAAAGTGGTGTCAAACTGCATTATTTCTACAGTGCAGATACGTGGTCTAGGATCTCAAGATGCTGCTTCTTCGCCTTTTAGGGGGGTTGCAGACTGCCAGAAATAGTGCAAATTGAGTCCACTTTTAGGGTCAGGGTTAGGGTTAGGGAATCATGGGAACTGTATTTTATTGTGGCACCAGAGCTCTCTGACAGAGAAGGTTCAATGCCTCAGAAAAACAACAATTCCCATGATTCCCTAGCACTAACCCTAACCCTAAAAGTGGACTCAATTTGCACTATTTCTGGCAGTCTGCAACCCCCCTTAGTCTCACCAGGAGAATAGAGGAAAATTGACAGCAGTTTTGCTACTGTTTTGGTGGATGGCAATGGTTTGCGCCTTGGCTCTCAGAGCGTCAAGGAGAAGGAAGGCAATGCTAAGCCTCCTCTGAACAAATCTTGCCAGGAAAACCTCATGATAGATTCCCCCTTAGAGTCACTTGGAGGCAAGCACACAACAACCACAATTTGTATTTTTTGCTGCAAAAAAGTCCAAAGCATTTGGTCTCAGGGCAGGAACTATGCTGTCATAAGAATTCATAGCCATTGCTCTGTTGCTTTGGAATACCAGTATGCAAAGGGATCTTGAGACTAATCAAATCTGTTGTCAAAACATAATCGTATTATTAATATTTAGTAATAGTTACTATTAGTAATATTTTTAGTAATGCAGCTGAGGAAGTAGACTGAAGTCTACGAAAGCTCATGCTCCCAATTTCTTTCAGTTGGGGTTGCAGACTGCCAGAAATAGTGCAAATTGAGTCCAGTTTAAGGGTTAGGGTTAGTGCTAGGGAATCATGAGAATTGTAGTTTTTTTTCTGAGACATTGAGGCTTCTCTGTCAGAGAGCTCTGGTGCCACAATAAAATACAGTTCCCATGATTCCCTAACCCTAGCCCTAACCCTAAAAGTGGACTCAATTTGCACTATTTCTGGCAGTCTGCAACCCCCCTTAGTCTCAAAGGTGCTACAAGATCTCTCTACATACTAATATTATTATTGTAATATTAGTATTGGTGGTAGAATTCAAAGATATAGCCATGTTAGTCTGTGGAATCAGTATGTAGACAGATCTTGTAGCACCTTTGAGACTAATTTAAAATTAAATTTTAGTAATATTTATAACTGTGTTTTTCTTCCCCAGTGCACTGAGGAATGCATGGCAATTTTCTACCCTAAAACTAGACTGCATTCTTCGGTGCAGTGGGGGGAAGAAACACAGTTATTATACTAATATTAATATTACTAATAGTAATTACTAATAGTATTAATAGCAGGATTATGATTGACAATAGACTCGATTAGTCTCAAGATCCCTTTGCATACTGATATTCCAGACCAAACTGTCTAGTTTTAGGGTGGGAAACTGCCATGCATTCCTCAGTGCAGTGGGGGGAGGAAACACAGTTATTAATCTTACTAATATTAATATTAGTAATAGT